AATGAATAAAATATATTCATGATTTGTGAATAGTGTTAATCTATTATATTGATTAGTATATTAACATATGTATTGATTATCAAAAGAAAATTATATGTATTGATTCTATGCATACAAAATCATTTGATTCAATAATAAAAAATTGATCGATTAATTAGTTACGTGTAACTAGCATATTAGAAGCACATGACCTCAATTGATGAAATTAAAATAGATTTCACTTGTACATATAACTGTGAGTTCTTCGGATGCTTTATTTAAATTTTTCCTGGTTGCAAGTGTTGCAGACATAATTTAGGTAAACTTATAAGCTTACAGCCTAAAAGAGATTATCTTTGTGAATCGATTAATATTATTTGCAGGAAAAAAATTGTAATACAAATTAATTATTTTAATTATACAAACACTTTCTCATTTTCACAAGTTAACTACATCTATTCATTCCAATATTTTATCTTGATTTAATTTTTTGTTAACATTATTTTACTTTAATTTCTTAGCTGTTATGTTTGCATTTATTTCAATCAAATGATAATAATCACATTTTGTTATTTACAGCATTTGGCTCCTAACTAAATACATATGTGCAGGACAATATTTGGGTTAATTAATTAATTGTGTTTCCTTACGTTTGCCTACTCGTGTTAATATTGAACTAATGAACGCCGGAAAAAAAAAAGGACTTCAATAATCCTTTCTTTAAAATTAAAAATAAAAAGTAACTATATTACGGCAAAACTTGATATGCCGGATTATGCTCGCTCCTAATCGAATTGCGATGACAGCGTTGGATTCAGTATTAAGTTATTGCAGAGTTAATTACTACCTTCGGTCCTAATTATAAGAGCCAGTTGACTAATTTAAGAATATTAAGAAAGTTAGTTGAGTTAATTATATGTCCTAAATAGGTGTTGTTTTTCCTAAAATATCTTTACTAATCAAATGTATTGACTAGAACTATCATTATTAGAAGGGTTACTTTAGAAAAAAAATATAAATATGAGAGACAAAGTGGATTGGAGTTTTATGTTTAGAACCAAAATAAAAGTCAAACAGGGTCTTATATTAAGGACCAGAGGTAGTATTACCTAATCTAAATCAAGCACTTCAGGAAGGGGGGCAGTTTTGTAAATTACCTTGGTTCCTTCAACCATATCTTGCTACTGATGATTAAACGGTCTTTTTCTTAATTTTTCAGAGCACTAGGACAATAAAATTTTGTTCACTCTTCAAATTTCTTAATTTATCGTAGCAGACAACCTTTGCGCTTATCATATACTCTTGGTTGCAAACAAGTTGGTAATTAACTTGTTTTTGTGAAATGCATATATAGATGCAGAAAGCCAGAAACTAATCATTACATTTATTTACAATTGCATAATTCTTACATCTAAGAATAAAATATATGAATAATCTCAATTTTTGTAATAAATAATTAATAAATACTTTGTCTTCTTAATTTGTGCTGGAAAAATCACCCAGTGAAATGCCACAATAAAGCAATATAATATATAATCACATATATCCTTCTATATATCGAATACATCACATTCACCAACCGTACAAGCTCGAACAGCAAGGGAAGGCGGGGGAAAAAAAAAACAAAACAAAACAAAGGATATCAACCAAATTAAAGATGAGGAGACATGAATTGATACTTAATACATCTTATTTCGTATGAGCTAAATTAAGACATATGACAAAACACGTACTTATGTTTATGGATTTGCCGGTGAATCTTGCTTTGGCTTCGACTTTACTGATGGTGTCCAGGGACCATGTCCTTCGGGCGACGGTGGTGGTGTTGGCCACGGACCTTGGCCGTGTCGACCTGCGCATTCACGTGTATATTTGTTACTACCTCTGGTTTTAAATATAAAGCTTTAATTTATTTTATTTTTTATATTTATATTTTTTTTCAAGGTAGTCGTTCTAATAATAATAATTTTAGTCAATAAACTTGATTAGTAAGGATATTTTAGAAAAGATAATACTTATTTATTGCAAATAACTAATTTAACTTATTTCTTTAATCTTTTCAAAAATTAATCAACTAGCTCTTATAATTATGAACAGAGGTAGTATTTTGTGAATATGATTAGAATTTTTACTTCTTCTCTCAAATTTTGATATTCTCAAAGAAACTACAATATATTTCAGTCAACATTAATTGTCTTTTAATTTCATATCAAATAAAGTTATCGATTATGAGAGAAATAGATACAAAAAGACAAGTCCTGTGGAACTTTTTTTTTTTTTTTTTTTTAACTTTTGCCTCTAATTAATTGTTCAACTACAAACTTTGGTCTCTTCTGGACATGAAGAGTATCCAACTAAATTATTACATACACAAGAATTTTCTTTATTTTTTTTAATTTGTATATATGTATTCTTATTCTTTGTTTTTCCATCATTTTTCAAAAATTCTTTTCTATCTTTGTTCTTTGGAAAAGTGCTCAAAAATCCATCTTTACCAAATCCATTGCTCAAAGGCATCTAGAACCTATTTGTATACAATATATCTTTAATTATATGTAATATATCTTTAAGTCTGAGAACGAGGTTGTACCTAAATTTTTGAACAAATTTCAGGTTCTTTTAGGTGATAAAATTTCGTAATTGGGAATTTTTCATCAATTTTCCTTTGTTTTTTTTTTTTTGCTCGCTAAAATGATCCAAAACTCAACTCTATATGTAATATATATTCTTTTATCCAAAACATATATAATAAGTATAATACTCTTTAACCCTTAATATATTAAAAAAAGGTTAAAATAATTAAGAAAACAAATATAAAAGCTCATATATAATTTTTTTATGCATATGGACACATACCTACGACACGTGCATCGATGCATTGCATGAAAAGAGTAGGGGTAATAAGTAGAAGCAGCATCAGAAAATGGTAAAGAGAAGACAAACTCATCGATCTCTATTCTTCTTCGATGATCTAAGAACTTGGATTTAACTATAAAGCTTGTAGCCCCGTTGGCTTCAAATTTATAGATGATAGTGTCTAGTTACAGAATAATAAATTTGGATTTGATTGATTGCACTTATTTTCAAACAAATCTTTTATTTTATAATACTTATTTTCGAACATATAATTATTACCGATAAATAAGTAAGTAAATATTAGACTTTTTTAGAACTACAACTGACGTATAGGATCAACCGAAAAAAAAAATATATATACAATGTCAACACTTGACCAAAGTCACTTCTGACTCAATCAAATTTCCGGTAACAAAATGTACTCGTTTTGAGAAAGCTTAAAAAAATTTATAATTTATTATTTAATTCGTAAATAAATATTTTTTAGGGAAAATTGCAAAAAAGACCTTGGAATTGCAAAAACGCAGATAGGGACCCTTGACAACTTCACTTTGGGTTTTGACAACTTCAGGGCATATTATTCTTGTCAAAACCCAAAGTGAAGTTGTCAATGGTCCCTATCTGCGTTTTTACAATTCCAAGGTCTTTTTTTGCAATTTCCCCTATTTTTTAGTTATATTAAGAGTACAAATAACTTCTTAATCGAAAGTTTAAAGTAAAAAAAGAAAAGAAAAAGGACCAGTTATATTATTATCAGTAGTAATAATTATTAGAAAAATTCAATGATTATTAGGGTTTCGGCTACATTACAAAGAGGGCAATAACAAGAAAACACCCATAAGAGCACTAAGACCAATTCAAACTTTTAGCTTATAATGGTTCAATTTTTCTTTCCAGGGCTAGAATGGTTCAAACTTCAAATTAATTATCGTCAGCAAATGATTAAAAAAAATTACATAAGACAAAAAGATTGGCGTCATGAATATCCAATATATTAAAAAAAGATATTGTATATAAAGTTGACATTTTCTTTCCTTCTTTCTTTGTTTTACCCCCTCAAAGTTGACGTATTTGTAGCGTTATGCTTACAATAAAAGGGTATCTTTTACAAATTTATTATGGAAGTATGGTGAGTGCTAGTTTGGTACGTTAGAAATGCAAAAATTATTGCATAGCCTCATGCCATAATTTTATTTAAACTATGTGCAAAAAATAAAAATAGAATAAATTAATAATAATTTTTTCAGCGTGCTGTATGTGTGTTCTCTTAGGTGAAAAGCTTTCATTTTACCTTATCTCTTTATATCTAGGTTGATTTTATTGAGAGGGTGGAGTGAACATTTTTTTTCTCACTAAAACATAAATATCCTTTATTAGAGACACTGTCGGACACTAAATGTAGACATCTCTCCTAATAAAAATTCAAACATTAATTCACCATATTATGAGGGATTAACTCCTTCCGTTAGACCCAACTCATTAGTAATAGAGTGAACATTAATACTGCACATTTATGCTTCTCTATGACAGGTATTAATTTGGGCACGGGCCTAAAATTAAAAAGTTAATCTATGTAATAATTATTTTACATATTTGTCAAAATTATGAATTTCATCATATCCGCCAATTTTGTGAATTAGATTAACAGAACCCTAGGGCCATATGTTTCTCTTAAAATTCTCATACTCCTTGCTCTATTTATGCTGTCCGACAAGAGGTACCTATCTACTAATTTAGTGAATCACTTTATTCGACGCCAATTTTCGTTTTATTCTTATCTTTATTTCATTAACATTTCCCCCCACTTCGATCCGTTTTTTTTTTGGGGGGGGGGGGGGCCTCAATCACGTAAGGCCTTGATTTTGAATTCCCAAATCAAATGCCAACTTTTCCTTTTGGTGACAAAATGCCACTTATTTATAAGATATTTTACAATGATCGTTTCATTGATGTGAATTTTAATAATAAGACCTAAAAGAAAAATGAAATATCCTAAAGAAACAATACTATTTTTTTTTTGCCTGAAAAACACTAATATATTAATTCGATCACAATAAGTGCATTTGTGGTAATTTTTTTTAATATTTAACATTCCAATTGAATATTAAGTTATACGTATTTAATTACGCGCTTTTAAATATGCAACATAAATAAATCAATTAAAGAATTGCTTATAGCCATTAAAGGTCAAGAGAGGCCTCCGTACCAATGTGAGCTTCATTCAAATAATCCAATGGATAGCTTCAGGGTAAAAGAACCAGCAAAATGAGCATATGGATTTCATGATTACGTCTAGGGTGCCAGGATAGGACACTTACAAACACAAGCATGTGGTAGGGGAGGCTGATCTGTAGTAGAAGTAGGGAGTGGGCTTGAAAGTCAACCCATTTTCCCTTTGTCAAATCTGCAAAATTAGGCCCATAATGTGACAACTTCCAAGCTCCAACACTAAGCATGCCCTAAAAATATATGCATATAATGAAACTCATCATCCACCACTTCAAAGTCGTGCAAGTTAGTACACTTTTTGGTAGAATATTTTCAGGAGGAGTAAAAAAGCATATAGAAATTTTACTTCAGCAATTCTTAGAATGTTCAAAGAAAGATGCTCCTTCCGTTGCTCATCATATTTCTATGATGAAACTGAACAAAAATGTATAGCAAGAGGCCAACCTGCATCAACTTTTATGAATTTGTGTATAGGTAGATGCTCAATGCAAACTGATGCTTCCCTTAATCCTTCCTGCTTTTGTTCTATGGTTGCTAAGACTATGCTCAACATATAAGAATATGATGGGTATCTAATTGGGATTAGGAATCCAACCTAGACGCTTACTATTGAGGTAGGAGAACCATCTCACTTCAGCAATTCACACTACTTGATGTGGGACTCAGTATTCTATACTAGCAGAGTATTAGTCATGAAAATAATCTAGAACTAACATGCGTCTCTCTACTGTTAATAAATATTAATGCATCATTTGTAATATATATTAGGTGTAGCGGATTTGAATGAGCAGAGCACCAACACATTTTCTTCCTCATTTGCTATTTTTCTCGGTTCGGAAAAATCTATTCGCATTTACAAGCAGAGCAGATAAGTCAAAGCTGGGGGAAATGCGACTACGCAAGACAAGGAAGCAAAATAAGTTTTGGACGGAGATCCACGAAATCCACTATACTCAATATGTTTCATATTGAGACGTCAAAGATACACAGTGTTCTCAAGTTTGAGGCCCTTGGCAACGTTAGACCTTGACAAAACATATCTTTTACAATCAATGGCCAACGCCATGACAAGGTCAACCGAATATGTTTTCCAAATTCAGATGTCAACAAGTACCTTCTTACATGTACGTGAGGCACCGCAACTAATTACACATGCTTACACCTATGACAATATTTAATATACCATAAGCATAGAGGAGCACCGTATTTCATTTGGTTTAAGGTAAAGGTCAGCATTCAGTACCTTCTTCCGGGTTCCAGTAACTCAATGTGCACACTCAAATCTTGTGAGCCACTTGCATTTGCAGATTTAAATTGTGGTTGCAGAATGGGAAGACAATCCTCCGTCGAATTACCTTCTGTTCTACCCAACATTTCAAAATAGGCATGAGGGGCCCAACCTGCACATTTGGAAATAAGCAGAAGTCCCGTGAGAGTTCAAGAACCATAATATTTACTTTGGGATTTAACCTGTTTAAGCAGCCTCCAAGAGGAAACACAAACTACTGACAAAACTATAACCCCAATATAATATGGGAAGATGAATTGTTTTCTCAGCTGATTAATTTGTTGACTCTGAGAGGCTGATGGTTAATTAATCTTCTTAGAACATCTCCGAAGTTTTAAAAAAAAGAAGGCATGAATGCAACACGTATACAGACTACCGTGTACAATACTTGAAAGGCTCAAGAGACCACAACAAAAATAAATTAACACTCAGAAACTAACACCTTGATGATTCAAACTGTAAATAATCTTGATGGGCCCCAACCCACCACTGCCACCAAAGCTTAGAGCAGGAGACAAAAAGGAGAAACAGAGGACAGAAAAGGGAGAACTACAGGTTTAGAAGAAGTCCAAAGGTTAAGAACCAAATAAGACAGAAAAGCAGAGAAGCAAAAGATGTAAGGTAGGAGACAGCAGTTGAAACAGTAACAGGGGCAACTCAGAAACAAGCGTGGAGAGGAACTTCAGTCACGTTTTGGTGCAAAGAGCCAACCTTACAAAAGATGGAAAATTTTCACTGTTCTTTAAGGTTCTAGTTTTGTATTTTCTTGTGCTTGCCGCATTTCTGTCAAGCAGGACACCTGAGTTCTTTCTGTTACGAGAGATTCCAGGGCGGATACTTACTTACAGTGGATGTGTCGTAAGCTCTATTGCAAAGCATATTTCCACATTAATATAAGAACTCAACTGTTTCAACTTCCTGTGTTGTATGCGTTGTGTTGATAGAAGGTTCCCATCAGATGCTTTATGCAACACTTTTTATTTCATTTTTAGCATAAAAACCCGCCCATCACTATTCTCAGTTTTAAAATGGAACATCAGCGAATTCCAGTGGCACAAACAGAGTAGAACTATTGTGACAGATGCTAGAGGATGAACTTTATGAGCGAGCTCACCAAGCCAAATATTATAACTCCCAACATCACAAAAATGGACCTTCTATAGCAAATAAAGCCTAGCAGGCAACAATTCTTACAATGATGAAAATAATTCACATTTGTGTTAAGAAACTACAAAGTAGTTAGGGAAAAAAAAATGCACACCTGATTGATGAGGAAAAGGAAAGAGTAGTAAGTAGCAGGTTGAAGAGACAATAATCCCTGCAGGAAAAAGGGGCAAAAAAAGAAGATAGAGTCGAAGTCAAAGCCCCTGCCATTTAAATTGCTTAGGTCTCTATTTGACAGTAATAATTCCTAAATAGCCACTGGATTTTGATCCGTTGCAACTACCAACCTAGTAGGCCTCCAGCGAACACGTCCTGCCAATGATGCCTGTAGTCATCAACCCGGGAAACTCCCACAAAAGCAGCAAGAAGTAAAGGAAGCAATAAAAGACATAATTTGCCTATGTGACCCCTGCGATCAAGCACTCGAACTTTTCCTGATAAATACCATGCAAAAAATCCTAAACCTGCAAAGGCCCCTGCAATTTGGATGAACGTGTACGCATACACATAATTAAATTTGAAGGGCTAAGTTTCATAAAAGGTTAAAAGCACACTACTTCATCACAATAAAACACCCCATCTCCATCTGTTAAATCACATGATAAACCAGATGCTAAGTTATTTTTTTTATACCAGCAGAAAGCACACTCTGGACTGAATCTGAAATTGGCGGTATTTTCATTAAATGGAGAAACGTTTATTCTAGCTACAGATTTGAAAACGAGATTAAAAAAATGATATTTTGCATAGGGAGATGCGTGTAATAATTAGCCTCAAATAGTAAGGTACAGGAAATATGTGTGTCTAAAAGAAGTTTGCTCAGAATGCTAGTATTTTAAGAAGATTTCTGCAGCTAAAGAATAATACCTTCTTGACCCGGCATTGTATAAGCAATAGCAGATTTTATTTCCAGCAAAATTTTCTTCTTTTTCTCTCCAGTGAACATTAATTACTTAAAGTACAATTGTTGGAAATAATTAACAAATGGTTGGTCCCTTTGGTTGCATTGCTATGCAAACGACAGCCCATTCACTATGTTCTTTGTTTAGTCATGATAGAAGCAGCTTCATTCCTCAACAAAATACAGTTGGATACATTTTGTTACTAAGAACATCTTTGAAATAATGTGTGTAAGAAAAACCAATTCAACAAGACAATAGTGAGTCACAACAAGAGGACGAGGCCTATGCCAAATGTACGTTTTTATATGAAGCCATGCCCATCTAATGGTAGAGGTGCTTCATGAATTCATGAATACCCAAACAACAGGAAATAGATAATCTACTTACATGAAGTATGCCCACTTGGAAAACTTTTGTATCCTTCCTTTATAATCTTCTCATCCCCATGACAAACAACATCATTTGTGATGGCATCAAATACCTGCATATCAACGAATGGCAGCCACTCCCTCAGGTAGTACCATTAAAACAACTACCATTACTAAACAAGAGCAACAAGGGAGATAGAAAAGATTTTCCAAACTCACTTCCCCCTTCCTCCTCATATCATGCCCCTTGTAGAAGAAAGAGAGAGAGAGAATAGTTTGGAGGAGGAAGAAAAGATCTTGAAAAAGAATGAGAACACACCGCTTTACCATCAGGGAAACATCGCCAAAAGAAGCTCGGTCTTGGTCGACCAACTGCAACTTTAACTAAATCTGTGATGACCCCAGTTATAAGTGCAGAGAAAAGAATACCTGAAGTTCCCAAGAGTTCATTCAAGTAAGATACCATGAGCCATGAGCATGGGAATAACAGTAAACCAGTTACAAAGTCAAAGCAATGGAAAATACCTAATATTGAATGGTGCAAGTCATAAACATTCCTTTTACAAATGTAGAACATAAAAAAGACAGCAATAGGAAATAATATGGTAACAATCTGTTTCAGCAAAGATGAAAAAAGTCAAGGTTGTTCGTTCACAATATCAACATAGCTATATAGTTAATTAAAAGCCGAATGTGTATTCTTGGTGCAACACATAAACGTACTTGAACAACCCTAAAGGGTATAGTTTCATCTTTGTATGGGTATTTCAAATCCGTCATCATGCCCTCTCCCACAAAGCGGTGGAAAGGTTCTAATGAATCCAAGAATAGGTCAATAACCACTAGAAGCAGAAGTACTAGCCAGTCAAGTTTATGTGTCCTTGCCACCCTCCCTCCATGTGACTTTATAGTGTAGCATCCCATCATATAATCTGGAAAAGTTACAAAAGGAAAGGCTCTGTCACTTGTTTTATAACAGATGATTGGAAAAGGAAAAATAGAACTTGGAAGTTTAGAGGTGCTTGAGAAGCAAAACAACCAAACGAATATAACCAATGCCATGACCATTATCCCTATAGGCATAAAGTAGCAAATTCATGAGTAACATGTGTGGATGATTGATGCACTATTTTCTCGGAAAACAGATTCAAATAAATAATCTAATCCCAACTGCTAAGTATCTCCTTTTTCTTTTTTCTTTTTGTGGGAAAAAAGAACGGATTCCATGTTCTCTGTATGTATGAGAACTATGCTATAGATTCATACAGGCCAACATTTATAAGTAAAAGCGGGAAAAAGGTTCAGGCTATGTTAATAGGGGATGAGCATTCCAAATAACAAGCACGTGCACAAGGCCAGATAAAATTTCCAACTTAATCAATTTCTTTTGTTTCCAGACAGATATTTGACCCAGTATTACAATGATCCAGGTTTTCTCACATCCTCCATGAAAAATTTTAGTAGCATCCCATTGCTGAGATGACTATTGATGAGCTGTGAGGCAATAAATAGTAAAATTTCATCTTGCAATTAAGTTTTTAACCAACTAATACCCTATTTACAGTATACAGATCTAGCATGGTTGAGGAACAGGAACAGGGAAACATCAAGCGGTTGATGGCTCTCCCCGTCAGTGTAGTCATCCTTCCCAATATGGACTAGAGACATCAAATGCGAAACTGGTATTCATTAAGAAGCATAACAGAATGTGCCCAAAACACAGAGTAAAGAGAAGAAATCCAGTTCATCCATGATGTACGGAATATTAGTCCAATCATTCCAAACGCAAAAACACGTGGCGTAAAATTTCTACAGGAGAACATTTAAAACTCATGAAGGAATGGCACATATGATGTCAAGGGAGACAACCTTGATCAATTAAGCGAGACATCTGAGAAACAGCAATACAACTGAAGATGAGGAAACGGGGAAAGCTGATAACCCAGCCAGAAGAGATGAATGAATAACAAAACTAAATTATGAGAAAGCGAATGTCAAAAGGAACCTCTTTTCAGTGTTTTTATTCACAAATCGTTCGACAAGATAACCGCAAGGATTAAAGAAGTTCCACTGCCAACAAAAGAAACAGAACGACAGGGTGCGTGATTCGCAATGTAACCGAGGCGCGCGCCCAAGAGGAATGTAACTGTAGCTTACATTGCATAAGACAAGCTAACCTGTGACAGAATCTTTGGGGAAATTGGGAAACCAAAAGAAGGAAAAAGGAAAAGCAAAAATTTCAATTTAGATTACTTTTTAAAAAAAAAATTCTTTTCATGCCAGATTGCTCTGGCATTATGCTTGACTTTTTCAGTCTCCATATCTTTTTTGACCAGCTTTCAGTCTCCATATCACTGAGACGAGATAAATATCGGTCAATTACCCATCTACAGCACCAATCTTAGTTGTATAATTCTTCTTCATTTTATATAATTCATCTTTTTATCAAAAACAAAATCTATCAATTACAGTGTTACCGAAAAAACAAACTGCTTTGACAAACAAAAACAAACAAACAAACTGACGCATAAATCTTTGGGAAAATTCTAAAAAAAGTCCTTGAAATATAAGAAATTCCAGATTGAGTCCTTGAATTTCGAAAATGACAGAAAGGGTCAGTGACCGAATCTGTCATTTGCAAAATTAAGACGAATTGACAATTTTGCCCCTGGCTAAGCAAAAGTGAGTAGTTATTCTCTAAATAAATCTAAGTAACGCTTACACTGTTCTAGTGATTACAAGATTAGTTATAGTTAATAATAAGGTACCTGACCATGAAAAAGTGAGTAGTTATTCACTACACGAATCTAGGTAACGCCTAAACCCTTATAGTGATTCCTTAAATCATTGTAGTGAATGAATATAAATGAAGGTAAAATTATTAATTTCTCTTGATTTTACGAATAACAAATTGAGTCACTGACCCTTTCTGTCATTTTCGAAATTCCAGAACCCAATCTGGGATTTCCTATATTCCAAGGACCTTTTTTGGAATTTTCCCTATCTCTTTTGTATGTGAATGTAAATAAACCATCCACACTAGTAATTTTTTATTTGATTTTGGTGGGGGAAAAACATCTAAAAATTATGAATATTTTTGGCCAAAAAAAAACTCGTACAAATGACATTTTATATAAGATAATAATAGGTTGAATCTGATTGAAATCAAATCTTACTATTGTTTTAAAATGAACATAAAAGTAAATAAGTTAATTTTTTGACTGGAAAGTAAATAAGTTAATTTAAAGTGCCCAAATTTAGATAATTTCATTCCTTTCGTTACATTAATTTAAAAGGTCAACAATTAAAAAAAATAATTTTCCCTTACATTAAGAAAATTCTTTAAATTTGATAGGGGTGTTCATGGGACGGGACAGAATAAGACAGGGACGACCCCATCCCAATCTCGTCTTGATAACTAAGATGGGACGGTTTTTCCGTCTCGTGTCGCATCCCGTTCCAATTAAGACAGGATAGAGACGTTTCATTTCTTTTTTTTTTGAATTTTTTTATTTTTTTAATTTAAAAACTAACTATATAAGAACTGTAAGAACTTATAATAAAAGCTATGTGAGGAAAATAGATAGAAATGAGAAAACAATGACAAAGAAAAAAAATATTTTTTTGTAATCAAAAGAGACAAAAAATAAACAAACCTAAAATATTCACTATAAAGAATATTATGTAACCCATCCAAAAACAACTTATAAACAAATAAAAAATAATAATTGATAAATATTATTACCAAAATACTATTATAGTGACAAGTAAAATAAATATATAATAATTAAAAATAAAGATAATATATTGCGATAGGACTAAGATGGGACAACCGCATCTTGCGTCCCTCGTCTTATCCTGTCCCGAAACAATTTTGTCTTGTTCTGTTTTTGTCCTATTATGAAATCTTTAGAAACAGGATTGTCTCATTCTAAAATAATTGGAACAGAAACAAGATGCTGCCATGAGACACAGTTGAATAATATTCACCAATACTTACAACTTGCCTTCGTTTTTCAATACTACCTCCGGTCCTTAATATAAGACCCTGTTTGACTTTTATTTTGGTCCTAAATATAAAAACCTAATCCACTTTGTCTCTTATATTTATGTATTTTTTCCTAAAATAATCCTTCTAATAATTGTAGTTCTAGCTAATATAGTTGATTAGTAAGGATATTTTAGGAAAGACAATACCTATTTATTACAAATAACTACCTTAACTTCTTTCCTTAATCTTCTCAAATTAGTCAACTGGGTCTTATAATTAGGACTGGAGGTAGTACTAAATTACTAATAATAATATTCACACCTCATTCTATTACATTTAACATGTCATAAATTTTGCTGCTAAGAAAATATCATAAACTTTTTTTTTTTTTTAAAAAAAAAAGGAACATTCTAACTGCCACTGTAACTGTGGGTCCGATTATGCATGCTACAACTTATAATCTTGAAAAATTCTATGAAAATTATTCTTCTGGTTGTTATTAAAAACACTACATAATTAATTTGAATAAATTAAAAAAATTAAGAAAAATTACTGAATTTTAAAAAATGTGACATAATCTCTTTATTATAATATTATATTATATTCAATTTACAAATTAGATAAATTAGTTTGAGGAAAAAATAATAAACTTAATAGATAAAATAAAGTAAGGTCTTAGTTTTAGGGGGAAAAAATTAAAGTGTTACTTGATCAAAATTCAAAACCAACTTCTTCATTAGCTTAGACATGTATAACAGGACGAGTAGTACAATTTACGGTTCTTAACAAGGAATGGACCAACAAGTCAAGTAAACTTATATTGCAGAAAGTGAGAAAACTCCCAATTCATAAATTCTAAGGTTTTGTTTACAAAACTGGTGAAAATAAATTATGTGATTCTAAAAATTAAAAAAAAAGGGCTAAAGCAATACTCAGCACTCCGATTTTAATTTTTGGGGTGCACTTAATGTCTTAATCTTTCTAGTGGTGTAATTTTATTTATAAGCTTTTAAATTTGATGCAATATCACCCCTTTTATTTATTTAAAATTACCATTTTCATCTTATTCATCTTAAATTTTTAATAGTTAAAATTAACAATTTTGATTCTTTTTATTAAACTATTAACTATTTTTGCCTAAAGTAAGCAATTTTAGCTAGTCAGCATCAAAGTTCAAGTTCAGGTGGCCATAAGTAAGTGGAGCTCTAATGTAATGCCAACGACCGATCCGTAGAAACTATTTTTGAGATTTTTTCAACTTTTATAATATGATTAACAACTCCTGGTAACGATATTCATAATTTCATTAACACTATTAACCACATGTTTTTTCAGGTTTTAAGCTGAAATTTTTTTCAACATTCATAACGTAATTAACAACTCTTACAACGATGTTTACAAAGCTATTAAATACATGTTTTTCAGGCTTTTAAATTGGGATTTTTCAACTTTCATAATGTAAAAAACATGTAGTTAATAACGTTAATGAAGTTGTAAATATCATTATAAGAGTTGTTAATCCTAAAAAAACATATGGTTAATAGCGTTAATGAAATTGTAAATATCGTTATAAGAATTGTTAATCGCATTATGAATGTTGAAAAAAATTTCAGTTTAAAAACCTAAAAAAAACATGTTATTAATAGCGTTGATGAAGTTGTGGATATCGTTACAAGAGTTGTTAATCATATTATAAAAGTTAAGAAATCTCAAAAATAGTTGCTGATCGCTGACACTCTGGCAACCGATCATCGTCCATCCACTAGAGCTCTGGTGACCGGTGGCCACCTGAATTCCGATGCCGGCAGGCAAGTAAGGGTGGCTTGAGGTTTTTTTTTATAAAAAAAATTAAAAGTTAATGTTGCAAACTCATTAACATTTCAAAATTTCAATTTAGTCATTATGACTAATTTGCAATTTTATAAGCTTAAATGAGCATTGAGAGTTTTGCAAATTCAAATGTCATTTTATTCAAATTTTCTTAAAAAAATTAGGGTATTGAATGTCCTTGAAAAACAAGATTAAAATGTTGGGTGCATCTTTAAATCTTGGGAAAATTAAAATCCGAAGAACCCTATACATGTATCCTTATTGATGAGTATTTTTTGTGGAATGGATCCAAAGAAGATATTTTGAATAATAAGCACTTGAATGATATATTTAGGAGTTTATGTCAAAGTACTTGTGCCATAAAGAATAAGATTTTGAAGAAAACATTTAAGTGCAGCATGTGCCGGTGTCACATTTAGCTGGTAATGGCCTTAATTGTTTACAATGGAAATCACAAGGCGTCAGAATCAACATGTTAAATTATTCTCAAAATTTGGTAAAAAAAAAAGAGTTTCTCAATATTTATAACAAACACCTTATTAAATGAGAACTAACATATAAGCAATGTGACGCAGATGGAAACAGATATCAAATTCCACAGTCATAAAAATTCCTCGTAACAGTTTTGTACGGTGTATGACTCTCTAAACCAGATTAACGCTGTACTATTTTGAGCTGTATTTTGTCATTTTGTTCGTTTGCACAAGATCACGCCATCTCTTTTTTTCTTTTGCTTCTTTTTTTTTTATATCATTTGAAAGCTATGCTTTATTAACATTCTTCGTTATTTAATACTCCTCCGGTCCTTATTGTAAGGCCCAATTTGACTTTTTATTTGGTCCTAATTATAAGACCCAATCCATTTTCTCTCTTATATTTATGCATTTTTTTCCAAGATAATCATTCTAATAATGATAGTTTTAGCCAATATACTTAATTAGTAAGGATATTTTAGGAATAATAATACTTATTTATTATAAATAACCAACTTAACTTACTTCCTTAATCTCCTCAAATAAGTCAATTGGGTCTTATAATTAGGACCGGAGGAGTATTAAAATCATTAACCTCAATTAATAAATAACATGTAGGGCACTTATTTGCAGATTCAAGTAATTCCGAGCTTTCTTCTCAAATCAGAATGCAATTTATGATGATGCAAGAATTTCATAATAACCGGACAATGACATTATCCACTCTCTTTTTTCTTCCATCGGACAATGACGTTATCCACTACTCCATATATTATCTCCATGCAAAATTGCAAATTTATTTTTTCTTGAAGGTTTTTTTTTGGCCAAACGTTTATTATTCTTATTATTTTAATAACCTTGAATTTTGAAAAGCTCTATAATCTATAATTGATTTGCAGCTTTTTTTAATTAGAAAAACATACACTAACAATTTGAAATTATAAATGGAATCGAACTTATTTTTCACACCATTATTTTACAAACTCATTTGTTGATTTACCATTTCTTTAACTAGTAAGTAGTAGTTGGCAAAAAAAAAAAAAAAACCTAGTAAGCAGTAACGCTCTACTACTATTTATTACCAAAAAGGCAATAACTTCAAAATTATATGCTTCCTCCTGTCTTGGATGTAAAAGTTAAATAATTAATTTATAAATATTAAAAAAATAAGTTAAATTAGTTATTTGTGAAATACTGTATACTCATTTTTTTCTAGCATATTTGCATTGGAAATTATTTCATTAATGATTAATATATGTAATCAATAAAAAAATTAAGAAAAAACTTATAAATTTAAGTGACAAAATAGATTGAAATGTTACACTTCAGAATGATCAAAGACAAATCCTTTTATTAACTCTAAGATAGGAAAGAGCATGAGGAATATTAGATAAAAAAATTATAGCTCCAATTGATAAAAGAAGATATGAAAAATTACATCCAATGATGCTGGTAACATGATGCAATTTGGGGATGCAGAATGTGAATTGTAAACTTCGAAACATAGGAGTCATCAAACTGTATCTAGCAAGAAACAAAGTTAAGAGAGAATGTACTTCTTGGCTTATTTAACGTGTTCATTGAATTGAACCAGACTCTTCATCTGTATGCATAATTACAGCTTAGGAGCACATCCACAAAGAACACAATGTTAATCTCAAGAACGCATGTGGCCATCAGAATACCAGAAACTGGCGCATCAACATAAACATATTATTTATTAAGTACTAGAAAAGAAGTAATTATCATAATCATAAATATATTTCTCAATTCTGTTGCCCATGTTAGTCCTCCTATAGTTGCTCCCTTGGGTTTTGTTTTACTCAACCATTGCACCCTGAGCCTCCTCCTCGTGGCTGAAGGGAGGCCAACCTATCAAACACAAAATATTATATATATATATATATATATTTTAAAAAAAGGTACAGTTTTTATAGTTATTAAACTTTTTGTAATAATGCCAACTGTGGTTGATGTGCAAAAACCCAGAAATCCCTGAGACAAGTCATGGATGCAACACTAGTGAATAAGACAATTCATCCCCATTTAGACTTAACCGTGGTCAATCTCATTCAATAAACAGTACTAGATGCCAAATAATTTTATTTTAAAAATTTAATAAAGTTGGATGAGTCAATAACGTATTTATATATATCCATTAATGGAGTAAGATATAACGAAGCGGCTTGAAGCTGAGACTTGAATCATCCTATTCCTTGTGGATTTCAAAAGAGTTTAGACTTGAGTCCATTATGCAAGTATTCCTAGCATCTTTTACTTTCATAAGACTCATCAAAAATTGGAAAACAGTAGGTCCCAGGAATATTATATATATATATTTTAAGATTGACCAAAAAGATCCAAGAAGTTTAGTGTAGAATAAAGAAGCGGGGGACAAAACTTCATAACAGCCTGAGTTGCGTTTATAAACAGCCACTCAATTCAAGCTGTAACTTAACAAGCCATGCACAAGTACCAATACATCATCACCCACGTGCATCTGTTTTCCCTCCCTTGCCTTCACAAACTTTGACTGTCTCTTACCTATCCACTTTCAAGTATTTGTGAAACTCAAGCAACACTACAAGATATGGTATGATCTTCTTCTTTCATGGAGTTTAGAAGCAAACGCGTATGAAAAAGATACAATATAGCTGTAAATATGTCTTCTTCATGACAAAACAAAGAACATGAATTTCCAAGTTATTATAGTATGCAAGCAAACTTGGGTCAAAATGGAACCTATAATGTTACTCTTTCTCTCTGTTATGTAATCTGTTCATGACTTGCAGAACAATGTGAATGTGATAACATGTGAGAGGTCACGTTTTGGGCACTACTGTTAGAGTTGACTTCCACCTGAATTTATATGATAACTGATAAGGTGCTGGCAAGGGCCATTTAAGAAACTCAGCAGAAAGATATATCAGATAAAAACCTAAAAATTATCTGATACCTTCGTTGCTGATTATGTTTGGTAGATTAGTGAAGTGAGTTTCTCTTAAGCATAAGCCAAAGGTCGAACTTGAAGTGATTCTTGCCACTTCAATGGTGTTTAATCTATGGTGGGTTTTTGTTTTTTTTGTTTTTTGAGATAAATCAGTGGTGGTATTCTAAAACTACAAGTTTTGCTCTTTGAAACTTGTCATTGAATACTTTGGGAAAAGCCATCGGTTAAATTAAAAAATTAGTAAGAGAATAACAAGCTGTGGCCGACTCAGCGTCCCTTTGGAGCATCCATTTGTGGTTGCTTTTCACTTATAAAGTCAAAGAATGGAATTACCTATAAGAGTATCATCTTCCACTTGTTCTCTCTGTTTCTATTGCTTTCATTGAATTCCGGCCCTCGGAGATAAGTCGTAGAGGCAGAGTCTCTGATGGATCCACCCCCGCCGGCACCACCTTCAACGGCACCCGTCCAAGCAGCTCCAATCACAACAAACGCCACAAGTGCTCAGTTGAACTGCCCCGAGTCGGTGGAGAGCTCTCCTCGGTCCCGCATTGTTGAAAACTGGGTTGATGAGCCGCTCCCTGCTGTTCCTGGAGCTAAGCTTCGCTTGATGTGCAGTTATGGCGGCCACATCATGCCGCGTCCACATGATAAAACGCTTTGTTACATCGGCGGCGACACTCGGATCGTCGTCGTCGATCGACATTCCTCCCTCAAGGAGCTCTGTGGCCGGCTCTCTCGTACTCTGCTGAATGGCCGACCCTTCACGCTCAAGTACCAACTCCCCCATGAAGATCTCGACAATCTCATATCAGTCTCCACAGACGAAGACTTAGAGAACATGATCGAAGAACACGAGCGTTTAACGGCTGCTTCTCCTCCTAGGCCCACAAGGTTAAGGCTTTTTCTCTTTTTCTCTAAGCCAGAGTCTACAGTGTCAATGGGCTCACTTCTTGATGATGCCAAGTCGGAGACATGGTTCGTGGATGCTCTCAACAATTCTGGGATTCTCACTCGGGGGGTGTCGGATTCTGCCGCTGTTGAAGGCGTGGTGAACCTTGACAAGGTTCCAGCCAGTAATTCCAGCAGTAATTTGGAAGCTCAAGCTACAGAGCTTCAGGCTGATAGCAACAAACAGGTCAAGAATTTGCCTGAGATTCATTCCTTGCCAGACTCCCCTCTGGTGGATAACAGTTCTTCATATGGGTCTTCTTCTTCATCCCCTTCAATGGCTAACCTGCCTCCAATTCGGGTTCGTATTGATGAAATTGGTAACAGCAGGCTGCAACAAGAACAGAGGCCAGGGATTGAGGAACAGTTGGCGCAAATGACCTTTGTTGCTAGTGGGATTAAGCAAGATGAAGGGTATGCTATGACTATGCTGTCTGCTCCTATGCCTACAATCCCTGCGCCTATGACCATGTCTTCACCAGCTTTGGTGACCAGTGATAATATGAATCGGGTCATCTCTGATGATGAAAGATCAGATCAAGGAGCACCTGCTGCGCTTCGAAAGCCTCCATTGCCTTTGCAGCTTGCACAACCAAGGACTAGTGGTGGTTTAAACTTGCCTTCTCCAGATTCAGTGGCAAGGTACTCTCATTTTGCATCTTTCTTTTATCAAACTTCAGTACATATATATACATGCCTCTTTTTGTGAAAGAAGAAACTACATTTTTTTTCTCATGATTTTTTTTTTTTTTGGTGTTCAGTGATAGCAGCATTGCATCTGCAGCCTCTTTCTCAAGGTCTGTTTACTATCAGGATCAAGTCCAAGCTGCATATGCAGATCAGAAAGCACCAGCACTATCACATTCTAAGAATGACATGTCAGATCCCAATGCTGGATACCAAAGAGAACGAGCTCAGGATTCTAATTACACAGTACCCCCACCGTTGGATCAAAGTCAGCAAATCCAGCAGCAGCAACATCAACAGCAGCAGCAACAACAATTTGTTCATGCCAGTACCCACTATATCCCCCACCCAGCAGCCACAGGTCAAGTTCCAATGTCTTCCTACTACCCAGTTTATGCCACACCTTCACAGCAGCAGATTCCTCATCCAATTAATCAGCAGTACCCAGTTTATGTAATGCCTGTAGGACATGCTCAACCTTACAATATGACTATGCAAGCTGACCCAAATGTGATGACCTCAAGCAGGCCATTGATATCCCAAAGTGTTGCTGGTACTCCACCTGTTTACCCCACAAAGCCAGCCACTCCTTCCATGCCTGAGGTGGCTGCTCAGACTGTTTATAAAGCACCTGTGCCCCCCACTCCAGCATTTGTTCAAATGCCTTCCGGGCAATATCAGCAGCAACAGTATGTGGGAGTATCTCAAATCCATCACCAACCACAGTCCATAACAGTTGCTTCCTCTGCTGCTTCTGCTCCGGTTCCTGCTACCACAAGTAATTATGGTTATGATTATGGTGGACCTGCGCAAGAACAAGCATATTACATACAGCAGCAGCAAACTGCTCCTTTGCCTTCTCAATACCAGTCCATGACCCCCGCGGCAGCGGCGGCGTTTTCAGATGCATCAAGGCAATTTCCTGCAGAGAGCACTCAGCAGCCAAACAGAGCCACACAGCCATTGTGATGTGAGGAGGGAGATATTTGGGGTTGGAACATGGCTTTCATTCTTTGATGATGGAGATACTTTAGTTGCTCACAGAATCTTAATAAGGACTAGGTTGTGTTTAGTTTCATTTTTTCCTTTGACCATTATTATCTTTACATGAAAAATGAATGCAGTGTGAGATCAGACAAAGCAAATCTAGTTTTTCTCATGTTTTTTATTTATGGATCATAGAAATTCATTTCAATAAGGCAAGCTACTGCCGCTAGATCTGTTTTCCGGTGAAAATCCCTCATTAGCATTGTTACTAGTATCGCGTCTGTGGAGTTGAAAGTCACTTTAGCCTTTTGTGTTCATCTAACAAAAACGTCAGATTTCAGAACAAGTTCAATTTTTTTCTTCAGTTTTGTCCTGTCTTGAGCAGAATCTGAGTTTCCTAAAAAAGAATAATTTAAAATAAGCATCTCATGTGACGTAGATATTAAAATAGTTTAGCAAAACAATGAACTGAAATCTGAAGGTTAGATTGGAGAATTGAAGCTTTTTTCCCTTCCAATGCGGTAAGAGCATTTTCTAAACATTTCATTCAGTCTTATACATGAAAGCAAAAAAAAAAAAACAAACTGTTTCATAAGATTTGAAAAGGTTTAATTATTTCTTTCAATTATGTCTGAAACTGATTTTTCCACGCCAAATGGAAGGGTTTCTGGACTTGAAAAGGGCACGGTGGTTCATCCATCACAATCAAATTTTTTCTTCCGGGAAACCGAAAGTCAGAGTTGGATCTCTTGGATTAGAGATTTGCGAATTGTGCAATTTTTGCAAATATATCATTTAATGACTCCCTCAAGTAACAGCTTTTTTCTCATTTTTATCTGTCATTTTCATGCCAAAAAAAAAAACCCAAATTCATTCCCCATTTATATTTTGGTTGGTACTGAATTTATTATGGGATCTGATGCATTACTTTTAATTACTAATTTTGCTTTTCACCGAAAATATAGGCATGGCCTGTACATCCAGCTTGTCATATCTCAAGTATCTTCAAGGAAAATTAAAAGAATTAAATTTACAAATGAGTTATTAGAAATATCTTCAAATTATGAGTATTTAATATTATTCACATAATACAAATTTACAACTAAAAAGCCATTTAACATTATTTACCACCCAATCAATACAAATTTATAAATTACTCAATGAATTTGTATTATTAGTAGTCCTTAAAAATTAAAAAAAAATTATCTCTCTCTCTTTTTTTTTCTAGGCGTCTATTATAATTATAGAAAATTAAAATAAATTAATTTATATTTTAAAACAAATTATTAAACTTGAATTATGAAATTCAATCAAGAGATTCATAACAGTAGTTATCTCTCCTATTTTACACATAAAAAAGGGGAGACACCCCCACCACAAAACTCATTTTGAGATCCTACAAACTCATCTAAAAAGGATAGGAGTTGCTACTTGTACCAAAAGTTTTTACTGAGTATCTAAATTATCTTCTCAAAACATTTTTACATAAGTTAAGATAAAGTTTTGGTAAAATTATTTTTAAAAAGATAATCCCAACATTATTAATTCTATAACTATATTATTTGTCAAAGAGGAACAACTTTCTTTAATAATGCATTTGCTGTACACCTTTTTTGCCATTATTGTTAATGAGAGGGTATGAGATTGTGAAAAATGTGCTTAAGTGTTTAACAACAACAAGAAGAAAGAGATTAAAAAAAACAGAAAAACAAAAAAAAGCCCACCACAACCCACCCCAGATCCAATTCCGGATGTCGTCTTCTCTTTGGAAACGAAAGTTCTTCCATCACGCCACGCAATTTAACATGTGCGCTGTAAATATTATCTTTGTTTTAATTTGACCGTGAATATAAAATTTTAATTTTATTTATTTTTATATTTATTTTTTAAAAGTAATTGTTATAGTATTTATATATATTAAATATTTTATCAAATAATAATTTGAGCTAATACATATGATTAGTAAAAATATTTTTAAAAAATTTATTTATTACACATAATTAACTTAATTACTTCACACACAAAAACTAACTAAGTTAACTAATTTTTTAATTTATTCAAATTAATTAACTAATTTTTATACTACCTCCGATTTTAATTATAAGAGCCAGTTGACTAATTTGATAATATTAAGAAAGTAAGTTGAGTTAGTTATTTGTCAGAAATAGGTGTTGTCTTTCCTAAAATATCTTTGCTAATTAAGTATATTGGTTAGAATTATCATTGTTAGAAAAATTATTTTAAAAAAAATATATAAATATAAGAGACAAAATAGATTGTGATCTTATATTTAGAACCAAAATAAAAATTAAATAAAATTTTATATTAAAGACGGGAGACAGTATTAGCTTATATCAAGGAGTATTTTTTTTCCTTAATTTTTTTAGTCTTATGACTATGAACACCAATGCCCGCGCCGCGGCGCCTCGCACAAGACTAATCTCTTCTTTTTGATTCCGAAATCATGGCGTTGAATAATCAACTGAAATTAGCCATTGTCCTTTTGATCCTGGAAACGCGGGTAAGAATTAAGATTTTTGACGTTTCTCGTGAGAGGACTCTTCCCTATCCCATCACATTTTCGAATTACTTCCCACAAAGGCGAACCTGCCATCCCTATCATCTACGTAATCCATAAATTTGTTATATTGCATCCAGAAATAATCCTGACTTAGGGTGTTCTTAACTTCTCATTCTTGGTGTTTCTCTTTCTTTGAATCAACGAGTTTCGGCCTCATTGGCTCACTGCCCCAAATATCTCTCTATCATTCTCTCAAAGTATCACTTGTTTACATAACCCAATCCCGAATTATGCTTCTTAACAGGATTAGCCCTGGATTCTGGGTCACTGACCCCAAACCGAAGGCTGTGAGTTTTGTCAGCCGGAGGGTATCGGTGCCTTCACCGGCGAGGCCTGTGGCATTTCTTGGTTGGCTTCAACAGAGGGAAAACGATAAGCGCCGGTCATTATGCACCGCCGATGAGCTTCATTATGTCTCTGTTTCCGACTCCGATTGGAAGCTCGCTCTCTGGCGCTACCTGCCCTCTCCCAAGGTTCTCTGTAGCATCTTCTCCTTTTTGTAATTTCAATTTCTGCACTTGGATGATTCAACTTTGCATGTTCCTGGGGATCTTAGTATCCATTATTTGTTTGTAAATGGCTTCGTTTAGCTATATTTAGTTAATCTATCAGAGAAAGCCACAATTCGTCGATAATTGAAAGTAATGCAAAAAGAAAAACTTCATTCCCAGGCACCTACCAGGAACCACCCACTTTTACTATTGTCAGGCGTTGCAACCAATGCTATTGGCTATGATCTCTCTCCTGAGGTAGCTCTGTTCCTGTGAAATGCCATAACCTCACAATCTTATTCTCTATTATGAATTCTCTGTTGTTCTTTTGTATAACAAAATATGTTTGCTTTCAGTCTTCATTTGCTCGGTATATGGCTGCACTAGGATTTGATACCTGGACCCTTGAAGTTCGAGGTTCTGGGTTAAGCACTCACGGAGTTTACTCAAAGGAAATTTTCAAAGACCTTGGAGCTTCGTTTGACTCAGAAACTCCTTACATGAAAATCAGAGGGTTAGAATCTGAGATAGTGACTAAATATGACAAGCTACGACCAACAGCGAAGCTAATGGATGTCTTTCCAAGATTATCCAATGAAGTTTTAGACTTTATCAGTGGGGGTCTGTGTCATGACCTGGAGAGCTTCTACTTCTTACCATCTACTATTTTATGATTAAAACTGGACAATATGAAAATATATTTTTTTCCAGATTTGCGGGGAATGAGGGAAAGTTCTACTGTTGCTAGTCAAATGAGGGATTTGATCCGTAGGCTTCAGGCTATTGCTGCAGGGGATCGGCCATTATTCCCAGCTCACGTTTTGGCGATGCAAGAGCGTTTTATAACCAGCATTCAAGAATTTCAGGAACAACTTGAGCTGGTTGCGAAGAATGATTGGGACTTCGACCATTACCTGGAAGAGGATGTACCTGCTGCGGTGAGGTGACATTCTTTCGTGATAATTTCATAGACATTCCAAAAAGCTGAAGTAAATTTATAGTAGTATTGTTTCATAAGTTTATCACTGATTTCATACTTCTGACTCGCCTTAGATGGAGTACATAAGGACTCATTGCCAACCAAAGGATGGAAAACTGCATGCTATTGGTCACTCAATGGGGGGTATCCTGTTATATGCTACTCTCTCACGCTGTTGTAAGTTTTGCTGAATTGCATTTTTTATTTCCTTTCACGCTTCCTTGAAAGAACCATCAAAATTTAATTTTCCCTGCTTTTGGTTCAAGCTTGTTACAATATATAATTCATGATCTAACTCGAACTTCAACTGCACCTGGCACCCATTAGTAGTGGCAAACCCAACCATAAGCTGCCATGCTTCATGTTGGGCCCTAGATGCTTAGAAGTGCTGGGAAAATTGTTTTCCATTTGGACTTGGAAGAAACAATACTCTGAACTAAACAAGTATGGAGCTAGAATTGAAATCTTAAAAACATGAGGTTTGTGAGTCAATTCACTTGGATAACTCTAATCTAATCCATTTATTTCCCAGGTGAAATTCTGTGTTCATCTCAAAATCAACAGCGTAATACCTGTGATTAGAATGACTTATGTGTTGAGGGGTTTTGGTTATTTTTGAGTTGCAAAATCTTATTCCCAAAGAATGTAAACGTTTTGGTGAAGTTCTTGATGCTTGCAATTTCAGGTTTTCATGGAAAGGATTCTGGGCTGGCATCAGTTGTTACATTGGCATCGTCACTTGACTATTCACCTTCAAGATCATCTCTCAAGTTGCTTTTACCACTGGCAAGTGATGAATGAAACTGTGATGCCCCCTTTTTCCTTCAATGATATGTCTCTAAGTTGAACATTATAACAAATTAAGTAAATGAGTTCTTCATTTGCAGGCTGATCCTGTTCAGGCATTAAAGATTCCTGTTATTCCAGTGGGGCCAATACTTGTTGCTGTTTATCCTCTCGTGAACTATCCTCCCTATGTTTTATCATGGCTAAATTCTCAGATTTCAGCTGAAGAAATGGATGAAAAGCTATACCAAAAACTTGTTCTCAACAACTTCTGTAAGTGACAAATCTAGAAGTGTTACCTTTGGCTTTAGTTTTGCATTTTATGCAACTTCTTAAATACTCTAGCCGGCACGTACTTCTACAAAACATTTATCCCAACTTTCAGAGACTGAATCATAAAAATGGAAGGTACAATACCTTCTAAGCTTCTCTTGCAGTTAAAATCAGTTTTCGAGAAGGGTGGTTTATGTGATAGGAGTGGATCTTTCTTCTACAAAGAACATCTCGCCAAGAGCAAGGTGCCTATCTTAGCAGTTGCTGGTGACCAAGATCTAATCTGCCCTTCTGAAGCTGTGTACGGTATGTGGAGTTGAAAAGGCTGTTTACATATATATATTTTTATCGAAGAGTCTATCAAACATGGAAACTGACAAAAAGTTTTATGATGGATGTGATCACATATATGAAACAGAAACGGCTAAGCTTATTCCTGAAGAATTACTTACCTATAAGGTTTTCGGTGAGCCCGGAGGTCCACACTATGCCCACTATGACTTGGTGGGGGGTCGTCAGGTGAGATTATTTTGACTGTTGTTTTTTTATGACTTATGAGACAGAGATTGCATATAATCTGACCAATTGAGTTTTTCATTTGAAGTAATTTCTATTGTTGTCACTTTTTTCCTGTTTTAATGCAGGTTGCAGATCATGTGTATCCATGTTTAACAGAGTTTCTCATTCATCACGACATGGATTAGTTCATTTCTCTCTTTAGATGACAAGCACATCTTTCCTGTTTCCTCTACTTCAAAAGGATCACAAGATCAATTCTTTGCAGAGAAGATACTCCTTCATAGATAGGTAGGTAGGCAGGTGGATAGATAGATGATGCAAGACAAAGCAAGGCTTTCTGTTGTATGTATTACTAGCCCGACGCTGAAAGTCCATATTTGTAAAGAATAACAACGAATATAAAGGACACAGACGCATATCTATTGCTACATAACTAATTTAACGAGATTTAAAAAATTAGTCTTAATTATTTGAGGAAAAAAATGTGTTGGCAGCCCTTACTAAAATTCTCTTTAACATAAATTCTCCTTGACATGTATAAAAATAGTTTGAAGGAAAAAATTCTAAGTTTAGACAACAGAAGGGATAGAGGTTATGTATCTGGGATCAAAGCAAATTCTCTATATTTAAACCTATTATGTCATGTCTAAAGAATATGCTTGTATTTCTTAAAGATATCTGCCCTGCCTTCCTGTGATTTTTTCCCCAAGTTTTTGTTGATAATGCATGGAAAAGTTTGGTGATCTTTCATTCTGCTTTGCATATTGGAAAATGTTTGGTCCCCACCATGTCGCCTGTCTCTTTTCGTGGTATAGCTTTCAAGTGCGTGACTTCCATGACATTATTGATCTTCAAAGGGGAAGTATGAAATAACGTTGTAACATTTAGAACGGTGAAGAGTTACTTTTTTTTCCCTCTTCTCTTTTTCACATAACAGATGGCAGTTTTTGCCATCTATTTAATCAATAATAATGGAATCACGAGTGTTTCCTTTGGAAGCAGCTTCTTTTACCTTTTGTTTGTCATCGAGGCTTCTATACGTACGTACATACATATATATATATATATATAGAGAGAGAGAGAGAGAGAGGCTTAAATTAGTAATTAATTTCATTATATAAGTATAGCCTGCAATGACCATCTCCGTTTCCAGAATACAATCCCATAAACAAGTATTGCCAAGTCAAATGCAAGCCGTATAATTTTGGTTAAGTCTCGTCATCATTGACAAATATAACATATTGCCAACTCACAAAGCAGACCAAAAGACTAAAAGATTCAACGAACAGAAGATTGAAAGCAAAGAATGGAATCTCGCTTGTATTAGATATGAAAAGCTATACACCAACTTCAGGGTGAATATAAGCAGGCCTTTTTTTTTGAAAAAAGAAAAAAGGAAAAAAAAATATCAGGGTCAAGTCTCCTAGTGACGAACCACAACTTCTTGCTTACAGACTGGGCAGAAATTTTTCTGTGCAAGCCATTGTCTGATGCACTCAAAGTGATAGCTGTGTTCACACTTTAGCTTCCCCACCTCATCATCTCCTTCATATTCTTCCTGTTCATCACAATCCAGATTAGACAGATCACATTATATATCATTTCACAACGTGATATCCGGACAAACCCATCAGGTTGTAGAGATTTGCAAACTCACCTGACAAATGCTGCACTTTTTGTTAATATGGTGCTTCAATGCTTCACTCAAAAATGGATATTGAATCTTCCTTATGTGGCATCCTATCTCGTCTTCTTTGAGACCAGTGTTGACAAAACCAATCTTCTCTTCAAGCTCAAGAAGTTGCTGCAGGCCGCAGAAACCAGAGACATAAGATGAAGATATTCAGGCAGTCCAACGATGTATTAAAAGCAAGAAGAAATGTTATCGTGAAAGAAAAATTGAGAGAAAGAACCTACCTCATATGACATATTATCAACATCAAGTCTCCAGTCCCTAAACTGGTCATGTGAATCTAACATTCCTCCCATTAGCAGACCTCCTTGAAGCATCATTATCTACAGGGATCCAGCAATAATTACAGAAATGCAAATAAATGATCAGATATATTGATAAAGACCAACATGGATGGAAGAAAATCTAACTAAAAAAAATCAGAAACGGTTAGAAAATAACATAACAAGTAATCAACCTAACCTAAGACTTATCCATGGTCATGGAAGCATTAAGCATGTAACAGATATTGCCCTTCATGCGACATTCATAAACAAATATTCAGGTTCTGTTCAGCTGACCAAAATCTGCACCTCAAATTAATGGGTTGTGCATTACCTAGAGTTTGTATGATCAATCAATCTGGTGAAATGATCAATCAATCTGGTGAAACTGACCCGTCCATAATTATCCAAAAATGGTTATCATGGTAACTATATTTAAAAAAAACAAAAAAACGGAGCATCCTGTTTATTGTTTCTTGTTAATCTCATAGAGCACGGTTATCCCTACCAAATACATGGGCTCGAATTTGTTTTTGTTTCAACAAATTGCAATTATCCAACTCTGCCACATCCAAATGCAAAATTGGTTCATTCTAGTTCGGGATTGAATAGTCTGAGGTAGAACCATAGAGGTTGTACGCATAAGAATTTAGTCTTGCAAATTACACAGCAATCAAGTCTAGAAACAGTCTTCACAATACCATAGGACGAATTAACAGGTCCATTTTACTCCATTAATCGGGAGGCCAGATACTCATAGAAAAATCTGCAACCAGATCACCACATACTTGCACACAAACACATCATACTTGGCCAACGGTACCAAACAAATTCCAAACACTTCAACTTTAAGTCCATCAGCATCTTCACCCTATATTGGAGGCCTATTCTGACCTGAGTGTTACCATTACTGAATGAATGCTAACATAATGGTTGAGGACCTAATCTTTGAGCCTCTCAATGACAAGAAATAAACCGTTTAATCACTAGGTCACATAACTCCAGAACTACTGCTTAATCTCTCTTCTATCTATATCATCCCATTAACCTGTGTGCATGAGCTGCTGACAATGGGGTAATTGGCATGGCTCCGGAATACTTAGTCCTCCAATGGATCATTGCCTTATAAAAGCCCAAATCCATAAAGTCAATCCTATTACTTAGAAACCAGATCTCAGTGCCATCTGCTACCTAATGTAGGGTGATCAGCACTTTTCAGCATTCACCAGCCTTGTATTGTCCATTTCATTTCAGGAAAAGAAAATGTAGACCAGCACATTCATGCCATCCTTTCTAGCTGGGCAACACAAATACATGCAAAACTTACACACTTTCACATATTCATCCTTCTTTACAAAGGAAATAACAAGGCATGATGAAGTATATTTCGGACAAAAGTCATATAGGAATATTCGAGGTGGTCAGACAAATTATGAAAGGCATATTCCAATGATCAACTCCAAATTCAGAATTTTCAACTGTTATTTCCCCAAAGAAAAGAAAATCCTGATAATCAAACAAAGAAATGGGATCATTATAAAATAAAGAATATAAAAGCCAGAACCAACCTCAGCAAAACCTTCGGATGAAGGATGTCGAAGATGACGATAATATCTTGAAGATGCATATGAATCAGGAGCAGGAGGACGCGTTGGGAAGATATCAGGATCATTATCCAGAAACGAGATGGTTTCTGGGTTAACTGTTCGTCTTCCAAGATAGGATACACGCTGGCAACATTTATGAACCATCATCAGGCCTTGAAGAAATCTCCCAATCCAAAACAGGATATACAATACCACACATGAGATCAAAATATCAGCTAATCCTTTAAACATCTATCAACAGCTCAATATCTGTCTTCTTCATTCACACAATAATCCTATGATGATGATAATTCTATTTACCGGGCGGTTCCCAAGTCATTAAACTTTCGTCTGGCGTCCGTAACTATAAAAGCATATGCGTGTACGCGGCTGGACCTGGATCGGCCGGTTGGTACTCGTAATACGTCAGTAGACTAGGAATATTATAACCAGCGGCCATAGTTGACCAAGTCTAAAGGGAGGGAATCAAAATTGTCCGCTTTTTTTTTTAAAAAAATGAAAGTATCGACTTTTATTATATTGAAAATCTAAAAATATATAAAAAATAATCATTTGACCAAAAAATTTAAGCTTGGTAAATAAAAGATTGTAATGCTAGATACTTATTTTTTTCCCCCTTTAAAAAAAAAAAAAAAAAACGAATCACACACGAAAATTCACGGAAAGAAAACCCATTCCCCGTTATCCTGTAGTAATGAAGAAGGATGAGACAGGAAAAGAATGGCTGTCTCCTTTACTATATTTGAAATTTTAACATGTAAGTTGAAAAAATTTTGTGCTGTGTGAATGAGGGATGCTAATACTGACTACTGTAAAAAAGAGATATCGAAAATCAAAAAATGAATTTGAAAGGAAGAAAACCGATCCCTCATCATCCCGATGAATGATGAAGAAAGAAAGAAAGACAAGACAAGAAAGAAGTGCTTACTAGTCATGAAGGTCTAATGATGACAATAATACCAAATTTCCCATTGCGAATTTAGAAAGTAAAGATCACACAATCACCAAAAACAAATGGGAAATTTATTTCAACAAGAAACCCATAGCAGAATATAAGATTCGGTTAAAGAAGGGAACGAGAAAGGGTAAACTGGAAACGATTGTGTTTTTAACACTCGTTGGATGAAAGAAGAGTGAAGAAGAAACAGAGGAAGGGCGAATCAAGATGCAGAGAAACAATAATACCTCTCTGTGAGTCATCCTCTCCACATCAATCTTCCCTCTCGAAGAAACATTCTTCCTCGCCACGACGCAATCAACAGACGCAGCAGCATCGGCCGAAAACCCAATTCCAGGACCACACCAGACGTCTTGAAAATCAACGCAATTAGCAGAACCAGAACCATCAACAGCCCCAGGACAGGTCTTGGTGCTATTTCTTTTATGCTTCTTCTTTCTAGCCTTCTTTCCTTGCCAGTCCGCCGACGACCGAATCACCGCCGGAACCGAAACCTGCTGCGACGCACCGGCGGTGCATCCGAGTCCTCTGAAGGTTGCAGCCGCAGAGAAATTGTTCTTCTTCTTGCTACGGCCGCTGCCACTGCCGCCGATGTTGACTCCGTTACCCTGTACACTCTCATTCGACGCGTTGTTGGAGAAAGTAGAGAGAAGAAGAGACGAAATGGTTGATTTGCAGCGAGTGAACTCGATTATCGAAGGGATTGGCGGGTTCGGATCTGCTTCTTGAATGAGATGACCCAAATGGCTTCTTGGCCTTCTGCATTTTATGCGTTCTGCAGTTGCTGAAGCATCTGAAACAACAGGCATGATTCACAGAGACAGAGAGAGAAAGAGGAGATGAAATGAAACAAAGAGGGAATGGAGGGATTTAACCCTCTTGCAGAGAGAAGGTGGAAGCAGTGGGAGCACAAAAGATTAGAGCTTTGAGAAGAAAGAATTGAAATTTTTTAATTGTGGGGTTGGCTTTTTTTTTGAGTGGTTAGGTGGTCTATGATTTGTCTTGTTGCTGGAATTGTGGGCATAGTAGTCTGAGAGGCTCTGGAATCTGTGACTGTTTTTTGCTTCTTTTTGTGCCTCTTAAGCTATCAATCCGACGCTGCTTATCACAGGAAAAGTCGAAAGTCCCTTCCTTTAACCCTCCATTCACACCCTCCTAGCGCACAGTGCCTGAGGATTGAATTGGAAAAGGACCTAGATGATGGCGCCATGAATCAATATTATGTACATTAAAAACCACTGTAGAAACAGAGCCACGCAAAAAGGTCAGATTTCAGGGGTGAGAGTGGACGCCATTTTAAAGGGTCCCACAAGGAGAAATCACGATTCACAAGGTCATAAACCACATGAGTGCATTGGGATTATAATAGCCATCATTTAATTTCCACCCCCTGAATTCCGCTCATTGAGGAATGTCTTCCTGGTCAAGCATCCTTTCCCCCTTTTATCATCGTAGCTGTAGCACTAAGGTTCACTGCATTCCATTGTCTATTCCCACCAATGAACATTAAAATAAATCTCAAGTTCGTATTTTTTTGCCAAAAGATTCATTTTTTTCCAATTGGGTATTGGTTATTCGACCGTCATGGGACTTGCACCAACCAAGAAAATCGGCAGACTCGCAAAATGAAAGCGAATGACTAGAGCCCTTTTTGATTAGATCTCCTTTCTTTCGGTGTAAATAAAAATTAACGACATCTGATCTATCTTACCTGTTCTATTGACGACCCTTGAACCATATGAGGCGTGTTTTCCAACAAAAATGTTTTCACCAAAATACACGGCTTCCTTGATTCAAGTTTCAAGCTTACGAATCTTTGAAATGCGATGGAATAAATATGACTAACCTTGGAATTGAAGCTGTGAAAAAAGTGGTAAAGAACAAAGGCAAAAGAACAAAACGAGACAGTACAGTAAATTCATGGACTTTAGACTGGGGTCGTCTGCTTCTTCCTGTTCTCTTTCCCACTGGAGTCACAGTGAGACGCATTGGTTCATAATGAAGATTGGACCACATGTTGGCGTTATTGGGGACAAAAGAACAATTGAAAAAATTGAGATGAAATGAAGCAGCTCTTAAGTGTAAATTTTATTACACTGTACTATGCTATATATTAATGTTTCGGATCATGCTCAAATTGATGCATCTCAAAGGGGTTGTTGACTGACTTGATGAAGCAATTAAAGCACTTGTTATAAAGTTAACCATCAATGGCGTGATTGCCTGCAAATCCAGAATTTGAACGCCAAGTATATTCTCCTTTTTCCTCTTCTTTCTTTGGTATAATCCATATGGTTAAGAAAAGGATTAGATAATTAGATTACGCACCTTCTTTGCGCCATGGTTTCTACAATCAGATATTAAGGGAGACTCAGATTTTTAACAGAGGATTCACATGATGATTCAATCCAGTTAATGCTGAACTGTACTAGTGTACTCCTACTAATAGTTCTTAATAGCTTCATTAATTTACGAAAGCTGTGATTAAACAGTCCTCGTCAACACTTGATTTGTCATCTGGACAATAATTAAGCCATTAGGTGAGTGCAATTTCTGTTTCTTGTACCTCAAAGGTTCTTAGATAATCAGTTTTTTTAAGTTAGTTAATTTAAGTGGCCTCTGTGATACCAAATTAGTTTGAAATCAGTGGCTCAAAGGTTGCAATCATACTGATCATAGAAAAGGACGAATTTCTTTCTCTTTGGCTATGCAGAAAGGAACCAGTCTTGTTTTTCTTTTTAATGCTTTTCAATTAATTAATTAATTAGGCAACACGGTGGGTTTCTCTAACTTTGGAAAAGCTACGGTATGATGCTTAATTAAGCACATAAACATGTTTATGATTATATTTAGAAGGTCCAATAAGATTAAGGCCTGGCATTGAGCCGAAAGCTGTGTGACAGAAAATTCAATGCAGCCACCTCATCATAGTCATAATTTCAATTAAAGTAGCATCATATTACAGCAATATTCCAGAGTTGAGTCAGCTCATAATCTGCTCTCTCACAACATTATAGAGCTGTGCTACGTTAATGGATGACAATTGATGAGTGTCAAATGTAAGCTCTTCGGCTCATACTTTGTATTATTAAATGTGCGTCTGTCTAGTAAACTAGGGTTGTTTCTGTGTCACATGCACTAGCCGGCTAATAAATAAATCATCTACTCTTTTCTTTTAACCTGTAACATTTAAATTTGATGCATTATTATATTAAAGAGATACTGAGTCTTTTTCACTGGATCTAAGGCTAGTAATTAATAGTTATCTACTACCTCCGCTCCTTAATAATTGACTAATTTGAGTAGATTAAGAAAAATAGTTAAGTTAGTTATTTATAATAAATATGTGTTATCTTTTTTAAAATATCCTTACTAATCAAATGTATTAGTTAGAAATACCATTATTACAATAGCTATTTTGATTAAAAATAGATAAATATGAGATCTAAAATGGATTGGGGTTATATATTTAGAACCGAAATAAAAATTAAATGACTCTTATATTAAGAATTGGAGGTAATTTTATTTTATAATGATATGATTTGTTTTACTTCATACTCTTTTTCATTTCACGTTTATTTTTACATTTTCTTCTTTCATCGAATTTGTTTTACTTAATTGGAGATTTTATCTTTTGTTTTAATATATTGGCTTATATTTTACTTCTTGATTCTTGATGTTGTTTACAATATATACTATCTCATGTCCTAATTATAAGATTTCGTTTATAGTTTACAAATAAGGTCTTATAATTAAGACCAGAGATAGTATAAATCTGTGAATTGTAAATTATGTATTTTCTCATCATTATGCAAAAATGTGTTTACTCTTTCGGTCATTAATGTGTGACTTAATTTGAGAATTGATGATGGTCCTATATGTAAGACATATTTCACATGTTTATCAATTTTTTTCCAAATTAATTATATTGATATTTTCCCAATAATAATTAAGTAGGAGAGAGGGGGAAGGGGATTAAGAAAAATGATTAAGATGTTTTAGAAAAAAATCATATTAATTAATTTAGCTAATATCCTTAATCTTCTCAAATTAATTAAGTAGATCTCACCTTAATGAGATGAAGAGCATTATATTACCATTAGCCTCTGGCTTTGTCATTTTTATTGAAATGAAAACTAGATTGACCCATGCATGTAAAAACAATTTCAACATGTGCCCCACTTATACCTAAATTCATTGACATTGTTCATGGTCTAGAGTAGAAACAAAATTGTGTAGGTAGGCTCTACTATCTCTCTCTTTTTTTTTCCCCGGGGAGAATGGTTTTAAGTTTAAAGAAAATTAATGATAGTTAGGTTGCGGTGGAGAATCCTGAAAAATGAGTTGTATACAGCAATTCAAACAACTGTAAATAGAAATCCCAGTGATAATTACATTTGAAACTACTCAAAATGCCTTATTTATAATTAAGCAACTGTAATTATTTAAATAAAGATTTACAAAAAAAAAATTTTAAAAATGTTTAGGCCTGACTATCATTAATTCAATCATCTGAGACTTTTTAGTCTCCCATGCTTTAGCCCTTGGGATTATGTTCTTAGAAAAATACGTATAATTAATGCTTTCTTTTGTAAAATTCTTTCTTGCACCTTCATCTTTCAACATGATTCCTTAGTAAAGTTTTGTAACTTGTTCTTCAATATAGATTCCTAAGAGGGAAAAAGGGCAAACATGAGAAATATAAGTACTTCTCTGGTTCTAAATATAAAACCCTTACATACACTTGTATAAGGGTTTTATATTTAGGATCAGAGGAGTATATGAAACTTGTACAAAGTAGAATTAATCCTGTGAGAATTCATATTGAAGTTGCGATTGCTGCTAGATCCTCTTGCCATTTTGTTAGATTGATAAGTCATTATTTTAAAGTAAGAAGCAAGATAGTTCTTGTCTTGAAGTCAGTCACATGTTAGTTTTTGGTTGATGAAAGATAATGACCTCCACAACACTACTTTAAGATACCACTTCTCTCCAATTAAAGGTATTGTTGAAAATAAGCAAGCAAATAAGGAAAAATACTATTTATTTTTCTACAAATTAAAATCACTCAATATGAGTTATTTTTAATCGATAATAATCTCAACTATATACATACATACATATATATTATTAAATAAATAGATCTTCATTCCTTTTTGGCACATCTGAAGATGCTTATTATCATAAAGAACTTTCTTTTTCATAGTTTTCTTTGCTTTTACTCATCCCTGCCTAGATCTCAATAGATCTCAATATCAATATTTTTATTATTTTTAATGTCTTTTGTTATTCCATGATGAATGATTATGTAGTTTTCATAACATGTCCTACCCATCACAAACCTAATGAAACGTCCAATTAATTATTATTATCATCATCATCAAAGCCTGTGAACTTTTGAAGTTTGGTATTATTAAATAATTTAAATAATGAACAGAAAAACTTTGGTTGTGAAGCCAGGAGAAGCAGCTCCAACGTTCTCATTCAGAAAACCCAGAATAGCGGAGAGGAAAATATTGTTTTACATTTTCAAAGTACTCCCTTGGTTGGAATTTCGAAGCACAGCCTTGTTTCCTACTCATACTTTTTTAAGCACTAATTTTTTTAATAAATTATGAATATTTTAGTCAAATATAATTAAAATTATCTTACAATTTGAACTACAGAACACGGATTAATCTATCATATTTGTGGCCTGAGGAAAAAGTCAAGTTTTTTTCTTCCTCTAAGCACATTTCATGATATTGTGTGGTACTAAATATGAGTATCTTTTATATTTAGAATTCAAGTTTTAATTCATCACATTTTAAAGAATTAATTATTTTTCTTAGACATAGTAGGAAAAAGTCAAGTTTATCAAGACTCATGAGTTATGAGAGCTTTATGTGGGCTTGGGTCCTTTTTTGGTGAAAATATGGGCTTATCATCATGGGTTATAAGTTTGGAGAGCCCATTT